GAGAAGTTAGAGGGTTGACATGTTGTGGGGTTGTTAACCAATATCATAAAACAATATGTGTACTACTGTTTCATGAGAAACTATTTGTTCTGTAAGTCTTCACCTGAAGTACAATTATATATATATATATACACACACACACACACACACATAACTAGATAATCCATCCTGTGACTCAAAATCCTTCTTACTAGACTTCCTCCCCCGCCCCACCAACACACACACATGTGCACGCACACAACTAGGTCCTAGAACAGAGCTTGGAAGCACACTTGACACGGATTGAGTTGTGTCCCCCCAAAAATATGTGTCAACTTGGCTAGGCCATGATTCCCAGTATTGTGTGATGGTCCACCATTTTGTCATCTGATGTGATTTTCCTATGTGCTGTAAATCCTACCTCTATGAGGTTAATGAGGCAGGATTAGAGGCAGTTATGTTAATGAGGCAGGACTCAATCTACATAATTAGGTTTTGTCTTAATCTCTTTTGAGATATAAAAGAGAGAAGCAAGCAGAGAGACAGGGAGATCTCCTACCACCAAGAATGCAGAACCAGGAGGGGAGCGTGTACTTCGGACCCGAGGTCCCTGTGCTGAGAAGGTCCCAGGACAGGGGAAAACTGATGACAAAGACCTTCCCCCAGAGCTGACAGAGAGAGAAAGCCTGCCCCTGGAGCTGGCACCGTGAATTTGGACTTCTAACCTCCTAAAATGTGATAGAATAAACTTCTGTTTGTTAAAGCCATCCACTTGTAGTATTTCTGTTATAGCCACACCAGACAACTACGATTACACTTTAGGAAACCTTTGAGTGTACATTCCAAAGCCAAATACAAATTATTCTTGAATTATGTTTCTTACTATCCATGTCCCTCATTCCTACAATTAGCACAGAGAAAGGAAGATAAACTGTTCTTCATTTTTATAATTAAGTTAAATCTCATTTATTACATTGAAAGTCAATACTTTAGGAGAAGAGCTGATTTTTTTGATGGTAAAGTCAAACAGAAACAAAAGGCAAAAATCCAAGTAAGATTTTTTAGTGTAGAACTAACCACATGACGTGTGTTACACACTGGTCATCTTAAAGCCAGACTTAATGTCACTCATAATCCTAGAGGGAAGCTGTGCAGTTAAAGAAAAGGGTGTGATTTAAAAGAAAATCTCTATAATTACTCAGTTATGTGGATTGGTTTTTTAAATACTCTACCATTCAGATAATTCAATTTAGTAAACAAGTATTGATCACTGTATTAAGAAGATAGTACTGGTGTTATACATGACAGGGATATCAACATAGCCCTTGACTTCACGAAGTTTATAATGTGCTGCAAAAGTAACATATACAAACACAACTAAACATTCCTGGACAGCATAGAATAAAGTCAAATAGAAGTGCATGATATTAAAAGACAGGACTTTGGAAGAAATCAAATGAATCAGGATGACTTCCAGGAGCAAGTAATTGAAAAACTCAAGGCAAAATTGCTTGAACAATAGGGAAATTTATCATCTCCCATAACAAGGAGTCCACAGGTAGCGTGGCTCTAGGCAATGGTCTCCAGTTCTGGTTCTCTACAATTCTCTTGGCTCTGATCTCCCTCATGGGCATCACCTTCAGGACAGTAGCAAGATGGCTGCAGCAGTTCCAAATGTTACATCTACATACAAGATACTCTGCGGAGAAGAGAGATCATTCTCTTTTCTTCTTTTTACTCAAAAGCAAGAAAACCTTTCCCAGAAGCCTCTTGCGGACTTCCCCTTTATCTTCTATTGGCCAAAACTGGATCACATGCCTATTCCTAAAATAATTCACTGCCAAAGGGAAGGAGACCTACCATGATCAAGGTCAGAATGGATGCTGGGAGTACCATGACCATCACCTCAGTGTTGCCTGAATATTTCAAGGGAAGACAGTCCTTGGACTGATTGGGACTGGAGAAGAGATACAAGAGAAAAATGCATAGGCAAAGGAAGGGATATGCATAACTGGAAGAAGAAAGTCAAACTCTGCAATCATACATTAATCATGCTTTTAGAGATAAACGATTCTCTTAAACTGCACTGTTGTCATTCCCTGTAATACAAAAGTTAATTAACTATTCGAAATAAATGGTAAGAATGCAGAAGGAGTCATTATATTTTTAAGGAAGAATTTGAGTTATTTATTTACCAGCAGAGGACAGTCAGACTTACCACTCCTTGTCAACGAAGTCACCTATTCAGCTATCTCTGGGCTGAGAACATTCCATATTATGCATACAGATGACTCTGCAGACTCACTCTCAGTAGTTGTCCCTTGAAGGTTTCTTCTCATTTGGGTTCGAGGTTCCACTCAGAAATCCACACACTCACAACTGGCCCTGTCTGCAAATGAAAGCTTGCAATTAGGAGGCAAAAAACGACAGTAAATAATTTCTCCTCCCCCTGCCTCCATCTATAACTAATTGATCCATATGAAAAATGAACTCAAGCACTAGGCTCAGTGAGCACCATGTTCAAACCAAACAACCTGCATTTTGAAGCTTGTAATGTGCTTATTATACATGGTTAACTTTTTCTCATCAAATAAATTTACTGTAGCTTCCATGGTACACCTGGTACAATTCTATACACCAAATGTTGCCCACTGGGCAGAATCCAGCACACAGATGTGCTTGGTGGGCCCACACAAGGTTGGTCTACCCAGTGTTAAAGGATTAACTGCCTATATTTAAAATTCCTTATTTCTGATCTCTCTTGAAAAATTAAGAAATATGGAAATACTGGGCCCACTTTCCTATGTGGTAATAATCTGTCAGAGCTGATTAGCAGATAACCCTTTAGACAGGGCATATACTCTGCAGTTCTCCACAGATGTCACCACTCTCTCTTATACTACAACCTGGTTCACAGTTACCTGCCTGGACCCTGTAGGCATCCGACTTGCAAACTCTGCTCTGTATTTACAAACAAGCAGCTTCCCCTATGGTCATAACCTGAATTAGGACTTCTAGCCTCCAGCATTGTGAAAAATAAATTTCTGTTCTTTAAAGCCACTCATTTGTAGTATTTTTGTTATGGTAGTACTAGGTAATTAAGACAATCCCAAATGTCCATCAACTGATGAATGGATAAATAAAAAGTGGTATATCCATATGATATGGATTAAGTTGTGTGTCCCCAAACTATGTACTGGAATCTTAACACTTATACCTGTGGATGTAATATAATGTAATGACTTTACATAGAATCTAATGTAATGACCTTCCATAATATAATCAATCGGTTGAGGTCATACAAGTGTATGGTGGATCCTAAACCTAATAACTTCTGTGTTATATAAATATAAATAATTGATTAAATTTATATGAAAAGCAGGACTTTTTCAATGCATTAAGTTTGAAAATCACTGCCACAATCTTTCTCTTGAGAAAATAACTCTTTTAAAAGTACAATACCTCAATTCTAAGGATCAAAAATATAATCACAAGGAAATCATATGCCAAAAAATAGCACTCTAAATAACCTAGTATAATCTGGCATGAGCAAAGAGAAAATTTGATCAATTTCAACATTATTCATTCAATTGTGGTCCACTGAATACCTCAATCTTTCATTACACTTGGTAGGAATTAGATAAAAAATATTGAGCCATTTCACTGTCAGCAAAAAAGATATCTTAATATAATCATTTGATTCGAGTTTATCTGGGTATTGTTACTAAAGGTACTTCAAGTTCTGCTTAGAATTCATGGAAAAACATCACAAAACCAGATTCAATCTAATTAATGTTAAATTCTGGCATGCTTTGATGCTTTTTGTACTACATTAAATGCCACCTCTATCCCCATCTGCCGGTGTTATTTATATCAAAGAGACAGCTAACTCCATTATCTCCTTAACTGCATTTAACCACTATATTTCATTTAGACAATATCAAAAGTATATACTCCTAACTCTACCCAGAGATTTCTCTTCTCCAAGTTAATCAGTCTCAGTTCCAACATAATGCTATGGAAAGAAGACCGCATTTTTGTATAAATGAGTTAACCGTGCTACCTTCAAATACTTTTAGGGCTGTCACATACAAAATTCTGATAGTTCTGCATCATCCCAAATGGTAGAACTAGAATCAATGAGAGCAGGCTATAGTCTGACATACAGAATATCTTTGAATCACTGCTGCCTAAAGGTAGAATGTCCTGTTTTGGGATACAGTGAATACCTACTATCAGGGGCCACGATGTTATGCCAGTGATTAAAAAGTCCAACAGATAGTTGATTTAGACCAACTTTATTCCACTCTTCGGATCCTTTTAGGAATTTTAAAAATTTATTTTTAAGTACCCAATCCACTGCAATTCAAGTCTTAAATTTAAGCTGAAGAAACTACAAGAAGCTAAAGTTCCTAAGTCTTAACAGCAACATTTCTGTTTAGTTTCCACTTTTTCCCAATGGATATATAGTGGCTTAGATTTTCAGGCCTTGACTCTATTAGAGAGCCCTGGTGGCGCAGTGGTTAAGTGCTTGGCTGCTAACTAAAAGGTCTGTGGTTCAAACCTACCAGCCACTCTGCAGGAAAAAGATGTGGCAGTGGACTTCTGTATCCATTACCCAATCAAAAGAGAATTTTTACTTTGCTGCACTATGGTCACTGAGAACACACAGCTTCTAGCTCATCGTGAGTCCATGTTTCTATTTAAGCATTCTATTTATTCACTATATTCAGGCCAGACAACTATCTAGGCCACTAGGTTTTCTAATGTGATGTAAGATGCTTTTACATCAGTTTCTGACTAGGCAAACAGTCTTCATGTTCTTATTTTAAATTTTACTTATTTTAACTAGGGCTGCTAACCCAAGGGTTGGTGATTCAAACTCACCCAGCCGCTCTGCTGGAGAAAAATGTGGCAGTCTGCTTCCATAAAGATTTACAGCCTTGGAAACCCTATGGGGCAGCTCTACTCTGTCCTACAGGATTGCTATGAGTCCAAAGTCAACTCAACTAAAGGGCAAGGGGTTTGGTTTTTATCTATATCTAGGTATATCTACTATCTATATCTATCTACATGTAGGTAGGTAGATAGATACAGAGAACAAAATGGTATATAAAGTGTGTCTCCCACAATCTATGGTTCACCAATCACCGTTTCCCACCTGTTATGGATTGAATTGTGTCCACCAAAAATATGTGTTGTAAATCCTAACCTCTAATGCCTGTAGTTAATTCCATTTGGGAATGAGTTGTCTTTGCTTTGTTAATGAAACAGGATTAGTGTAGGGTGTGTTCTGAGTCATTTCTTTTGAGATATAAAAGATTAAACAAGCAAGGGAGCAAATGCAGATGGGGAAGACAGATACCAAGCCACATGGAAACCGAAGCTGAAGAGACAAAGACCTTCCTCCAGAGCCGAGAGAGAGAAAGACTTCCCCTAGAGCCAGCAACCTGAATTCGGACTTGTCGCCTCCCAAACTTTGAGAAAATAAACTTCTGTTTGTTAAAGCTATCCACTTATGGTATTTCTGTTACAGCGGCTCTAGATAACTAAGACACCATCCCAGAGACAATCATCACCACTTTCTTATGTATCTTTCCATTAAGATTCCAAGCATTTATAAAATTATATATATCATGTATGTGATACACACAAATGGTAGCATAATCTATATACCATTCTGCAACTCACTTTTATAACTTCACGTCTTTGAGATCATTATGTATAACTATATGTAGGACTTCTTTTTTTATTGGCTGTATAGTACTCTACTATGTAGTTACATTATATTTAGTCAATCTCCCACATATGGATATTTAGGTCGCTGCCAATATTTGTATCACAAACAATGCTATAATGACTCTTTTTATCATCTTTCCATTGAGCCATTGGGCCCTCTTTTTGCCATCCTATTTATAACTGCAATCTCCTGTTCCCTATCTTGGCAGTCCCCATCTCCCTTTCATGCTTTATTTTTCCTCACAGCACTTCAAGTTATCATGCATTCTATCTAATTTACTCATTTATTTATTGCTTGCATTCCCCAACTAGAATGTGACTCCATGAAGACAAGGATTCTGGGATCTTTAGTTCACAGCTGAATCACCAGTGCCTAGGAGTGCCTGGTGCATAGCAGGACTCAATAACTATTTGTCCAATAATGAATGTTTTGCTTTAAAAACATACATGATACCCAGAGGTACACACATCTTCCCTTCAAGGTAAAATAAGTCACTGTTACCACACTGGGCATTAATTTGTCCTCTTTGTCTTACATTAATTTTCTATATCATATCATATATGATTGTTACATTTTAGTCTAATTCAGATTGCTATAATCTGTGAACCCAGGAGTGTCCCAATTTAATTCAGCCTGTCTACCCAAAGATAATGTTCCAGGTCTTTCTGAATATTAACCCAAATAGTGTGCACTTAATTGAGTCTCTGCATCCTTGTATGCAGTGGCCCTCCTACACTGACAGCATCATTAACACACAACTTCCTCTTCATTTTCAGTCACCCAAAGAGTGATCCAGTGTGGCACTGTTGTTGCTGGTAGCTAGCCTCAAGTAGGACCCCCACCTCATGGCCACCTCCTGCACAAAGGAACAAAATGCTGCTAGGTCTTGTGCCGTTCCCATGAGTAGCTGCGGATCAGACTATTGTGATTTATAGGGCTTTCACTGGCTGATTTTCGGAAGTAGATCACTAGGCCCTTCTTCCTACTCCATCTTAGCCTGGAAGCTCCAGTGAACCCTGTTCAGCATCATCGCAACACGCAAGCCTCCACTGCAGGTGGTGGCTATGCATGAGGTGCCTTAGCCAAGAATCGAACCCAAGTTTCCTGCATGGAAGATGAGAGTTCTACCACTAAACCATACGGCTAGGTAAACGCAGGGGGTGCTGACATCCCAACTTATCTTGAAAGAGCCAGTACATGTTTCTTTAACTTGTCCCAGTTGTCTTCATATGGAGTTAAGATTAGTGGGAAGTTTGGGTCATTCTCTTGCCAACGGATCAGCCTGCATTTCAGTCAGGCCCTAGCACACCAAAGCCTAAAAATAAAATGGTCATTGACAAATTGGTAAGAGGGAAGTATACGTCATAAAGAAGTATACTCTATATAGAAAAATAAATTCTTGCTTATTTTTAGATTACCGAAATTTGGCAAATCTGAAAGTTGTATTATCAGAATATACACTATACTATATATAGTATACGTTCCACTGTTCAACATTCAAATTAACAATTACATATATCATTCAGTATAAAAATCTTCATTTTAAACAAGGTTAATAATAAAGAGTTTATTCCAAGAGAACATAACGGACTGTTTCCCTAACTTTAATATTACCCACTTCTGCATGTGTACTGCTACCAAGAGCCAAATAAGCCCTTAACTTACTTAAGAAATAATTAGGAAGGTTCAAAGTATACTGGGTCATATTTGTTATACCAGTACTTTGAAGATTTCTATGTGTTTAAGAGAGATCTAAACCAAAACCCAAACCCACTGCCATCGAGTCGACTCTGACTCACAGCAACCCTGTAAGACAGAGCAGAACTGTCCCACAGGGTTTCCAAGGAGCAGCTGGTGGATTCGAACTGCCAAGCTTTTGGTTAGCAGCCGAGTTCTTAACCACTGAGCCACCAGGGCTCCAGAAAAGGGATACGGTAATATAAAATTTGCAAGGTAAGTTAGATGTAAATGACAGTCAATCTTAAATGTATTTTGAAAATTGTATTTCTGAAAAAGATAAGAATTCATATTCAAAAAACCAGTTACGGCTATCAAAAAAATGGAGATCTGTTTCTTTAATGAGAAAAAAGTATGCTGGACTCTAACGTTATATTTGGTCATCTAGTGTACAAAACTGAGAAGTTTAAGTGAAGAAAAAAAATTATAGTTTTCAACTCTGGCTGCATACACCCACTACTTACTTATCAACACGGTTAGGTTCCAAGGACCAAGTCATTATGTGGAAATCAACGTTATGTGAAAATGGACGATGATCACATCAGATTGCAAAAATGGAGGATAATTACATCATTACTCAACTGCCAAATTACATCATCACATAACTGCCAAATCACTGAGAATCATGGCCCAACCAAGTAGATACATAACGTTAACTATCACAGCCAGCATTTACTCTTGCTACTCTTTCATCGCACCATGGCATTCGTTACTGTCAGACGTAAGTTGTTAACATGCAAATACTCGCACAGTAAATTTTTTACTATTGTCATAAATGCAAAATGCCAGCTAATGAGACAGTCGATAATGAGGAGGAGGTATAGGAAAATGAACTGGTGAGCTTTTAAGAAATATTAATGCCAAGGCCCTACATCAGACAAATTAATCAATTCCTGGGATTGGTGCCCAGGAATCTGTAGTTTATTAAAAGTACCTCCAGATTATTTTAATATATTGCCAGGGTTGAGAGCTAAACAAGTCTTTCAAAAAGCATTGTGCATATCAATTTCATGCATCGTAATACTTTCATAAAATGTACATTTAACAGGCAACTAGACATGACTGTCTGTAACGGAGCCCTGCTGGCACAATGGTTAAGCAGTAGAATGCTAACCAAAAGGCTGGCAGTTCGAAACCACTGCTGCTCCTTGGAAACCTTATGGGGCAGGTCTGCTCTGTCCTACAGGGTCACTATGAGCCGGAACTGACTCGACAACCAACAGGTTTACACATGATTGTCTGGACATGGGGCAGTTCTGCTCTGTCCTACAGGGTCGCTATGAGTCAGAATCGACTCAACAACCAACAAGTTTACACATGATTGTCTAGACATGGAGCAGTTCTGCTCTGTCATAGAGGGTTGCTGTGAGTCGGAATCAACTCGACAACCAACAGGTTTACACATGATTGTCTAGACATGGGGCAGTTCTGCTCTGTCCTACAGCGTCGCTATGAGTCGGAATCGACTCGACAACCAACAGGTTTATACATGATTGTCTAGACATGGGGCAGTTCAGCTCTGTTCTTTAGGGTCACTGAGAAGGAGCTGACTTAACAGCAGTGGGTTTGGTCTTATTTTTGTTTAGACATGACTGACCAAATAACACAAAGAACCTGCAATTACAGGCCATAGAACAATTTTATTATTTTCTATCTTACACATAAATCAAGCAAATTTATTAATATTTTTCTTTATGGCTTAAAATTTTTGAAGAGTCTTTATATTGACTTATGTTTTCTTCTAGTATTTTAAAGGTTTCCTTTTTTATATTCAACTCCAGAAAATCGAAAATTCAACTTGGTAGAGTATGAGGTAAAGACCTGGTTTTCTTTTTCTTTTCTTTTTTCCCTGATTTTTGTGTTTTGGCAATCATGAGTTTCTGATTATTATGTTCATTGGTCTGTAAAGTACAGTAAAAACTAGACTGGTTTCATCATAAAGATCAGTTATACAGTTTACCAAAACAAACCTTTCAAAGCAAAATAAAAAAGTAAATGAGATAATTTACTTAAAAGGATTAAAAACACAATGCCAATTAAGGCAGTAGATAACTGTGCCCTTAACTTAAGGGTCTTCAACTGGGGTAATGGTCTGGTATCTCCCAGGGGTTACACTGGCCTAAACAGTGTAAAGGAAATCAATTTCCAGGTTACTCTTCTCTAAAAGTGATTGGTCTAGGCATCATCTCATCTGCTTTTCCACCTTCTCTTTTACAAATAGTTCTTCTATGCTATAAAAGAAGTCTTACTTCTTAGCCGTCTCAAATGAAGATGGGGAAAGTGTTGACATGCTGTGTGGTTGGCAACCAATGGAAAAAAACATTTTTACATGTATACTACTTGTTTAATGAAAAACTAATTTGCTCTGTAAACATCTGTCTAAAGTAGGATAATAAAAAAAAAAGTTCCTGAAAAGTTAATGTGGAAGTTATGTAATTTCCATTTCG